GTGATGACTGCACAGCATTTTAAGTGTACTTAATGCCACTGAATTGTGTGATTAAAAATGGCTACAATGGCCGAGCACATTGGCTCACGCCTATAATCCCAGCACTTTGGGAGGCTGAGGCAGGCAATCACCTGAGGTCAGGAGCTCGAGACCAGCCTAGCCAACATGGTGAAATACCATCTCTACTATAAATACGAAATTAGCTGGGTGTGGTGGCGTGCACCTGTAGTCCCAGCTACTTGGGAGGCTGAGGCAGGAGAATCGCACAAGCCCGGGAGGTGGAGGTTTCAGTGAGCTGAGATCGCACCACTGCACTACAACCTGGGTGACAGAGCAAGACTCTGTCTCAAAAAAAAAAAAAAAAAAAAAAAAAAAAGGCTAAGATGGTAAATTTTATGTTAGGTATATTTTTACCACAGTAAAATACTTATTTCAAAAGGATTTTTCCCACCCATCACTCTATCCCAAATTTCTGACCCCATTGTTTTTGTCCTCCACTGCTCATTTTAATTCATTTTGGGGGTTATTGACCACTAAGTTACTAATTTGTTGTAAATGCTAATGCATCTGTAAAATAAAAATGATTATATGTTAAGGAATAACACTTATTGATAATTAAGTGTTCTGTTGCTTCTTTGCTTTCCCCAAATGGAATAAATAAATATTTTAGACATAATCAAGTTTGTTTTCTGTGCTCGGGCCAAACAGACAGAGATGTTGAAATGATATAGGTCTTTAAAATACGGCAAATGAGTCTTGGCATCGCTGAATTGTTATGCATTCAGGGTACACAGGCTTGAAATCCAGGCTATCTCCTCTAATCAGGAAAATCATTTTTGTGATACTTGAATTTTGAGTCCTGTGGGGTTAGGAAAAGGACCAGCAGGGAGAATATCAGAGTCAGAATTTGAAATGATGCCCTGAGTCTTGCCCCGACCCTTCCCGGTGCAACAGTCTGCATTTTAATTCCTGTCTCCTAGCTCAGTCGCCCTTCTTCCCATCTCAGAGTGGGAAACTGGGGCATCAGAGAGTCCGGAATGGTATGGAGGTGATTTGTGCAGTGGCCCAGGAAGGAGTTGGTTTGCAGCAGGAAAGCAGCTCCCATGGCAGGGAACTCAGCCATGGCCTGCCATGGTGACTTGACTTACTCTGGCCTGTATTCTAGGATCAAGTGTGTTTGCTTAGCTGCAAGGTGGCCTTAAACCAGGCTGTCCTCTGGCTCGTGGAGTGGTGCCTTTCCCTGGTGGCACTGACTTCATGCTCTTTCCCCATAGCCAGAACGGGTTTTTCTCATTCAACCACTCTCTCCTGCCTTCAGTCCAGAGCAGCATGATTGGCCAAGTCAGCAGGCCTGGCAGGAGGAGGTCGTGTGCGGCCCCCCTGTGTGGGATATGGGGGTGGCTGAAACCTAGAACCTTGCTGTATTCATTTGGTGTGGCTGCCATAACAAATTACCACAAACCTGGTGGCTTAAAACAACAGAAACTTCTTGTCTCACAGTTCTGGAAGCCAGCGCTGCACTCCCTCCAAAGGTTCTGGGAGACAGTCGTTCCTTGCCTTCTGGAAGACCAGCTTCTCAAGGCTCCAGGTGTTCCTGGTTTGTGGTGGTACCACTCCATTCTCAGCCTACCTCTATCTTCACATGGCCTTCTTCTCTTTCTCTGTGTCTCAAATATCCCCCTGTTTGTCTTTTAAGGACACCTGTCATTGGATTTAGGGTCCACCCTAAATCCAGGATAATCTCTTCTCAAGATTCTTAATTAAATTACATTTGCAAAAGCTCTTTTTCCAAATAAGGTCACATTCATAAATTCCAGGGATTAGGACATGGATGTATGTTTGGAGGGCCACTATTCAACCTGCTACACTTGTCCTAATTAGCAGTGAGGTTCCTTGAAAACTGGCCTATCCTGGCTTGTTTTATTTGCAAGGTGCCTGGGCGTGGGGGCTGGAGCAGCAGATGGGTGACCTTCAAAGACAGATGAGACCCAGAGTGCCCTGCAGGCTGGAAGTGAGGAATGGGAGGGAGAGGCTCTCCCTGCGTGAGATCCTCTGACTCGTGCCTGTTTGTGAATTGTGCAAGCAGAGGGCCATTGCCTTGTTGATCTCGGCGTCCTTCACAATGCCTAGCACAGGTGGCAGCTGGTAAATGCAGAAGGAAGAGCGGAATCAGTCTTGAGGCAAAGCAGTGACTCAAGTGGATCAGCAAGATGCTCAGAACCTGGAGGAGCAGAAAAGGCTCATTCAGTCACTCACTCAGCGCTTAGTGTGTGTTAGGGACCCTGTTCCGTCCTGAGGACCCTCAGAGAACAAGACCCCAGCGTCACCCTCTTGCAGGGTGCTCTGGCTTGAAGTCACGCTGGCCAAATTCCGCGGCCTCTGCAGTGCCGCCCCTCCCTCCCTGTGGAATTTCAGGAGGGCGCTGGCTCTTAATCCATTCTCCTGGGGCCGGTTGGGATCTGGGCCCTAGGAGGGTGGGGGTGGGTGAAGGGGATTAACCAAAAAGATTAAGTTCCTGGCTGAGTGCTCCAGGGGTCCTTGACTGGGTGGGAGTTTTAACCTGATGTTTTTAAGGCTCCTCCCAACCCAGAATTCCTGACACGTACCCCGGTAGGGTGAGCTGAACGCCCGCAGGAAACTGAAAGCACTTAAAGCAGCGCTTGGGGAACAAATATGCCAAAGCCCAAAGAGAAGTGGCGTGGGGACGGTGTTGCTGCGGCTCTTCTCCAGCGCTGCAATGATCAGTGGGACCAAAGGCCAAGGAGAAGGAGATGCCCAAAGAGAGGGTATAGGATAGTGTTCCCAGTAGCTTTCTCTCAAAGGACCTGGTTTAGCGGGCAGGGCTGGTCAAAGGTTTTTTTGTTGGACGGCATTTCAAACAACGTATCATGTCGGATGTCTGCTTCAGGCCTCTGAGGTGACTGAGAACCTAGCTTTTACTGGGTGACACTGGGAGAAACTTGCCATCTTTGAGCCTCTCCAGCAGACACTCATGTCCACTTCATGGTATGTCTGATGCTGCCTTATGTATGCTGGGACTGTGTATACATACAACAGTGGACTGTGTATGCTGGGAGCATTGGCCCACTATTTGGTGTGTGGTGGTAGCAAATGGCATAATAAAGATCGCGATTGCTGTGTTTCGTGGTCCTAGCCTTCTGTTTTACTGGAAATGGTTTGAGAGCAGAGAGTAGCCTTTTTTATTTTCATACCGAAGAATCTGCTAGTCCCTGCAGGAGCTATGCCAAAGGAGCTCCACCTATCAGCTCTCCGTTTCCTGGTGTTCCTTAGAAGAAGGTGGTGTTAGAGTTGGATGCAGGAGAGTCAGAAGGGACCCGAGAAATTCCCTCTCCGTCCTGTGTTGCAGAGACCCAAAATAGACAGAGAGCTTGAAAAGGAAGCATCTGTATTTTACTCATTGACTGGAAACACAATTATCATAATATAATTGTGATAGAACAGCCATTCAGTTTTTGTCTTCCTGCTTGTTGTGTCTAGCTTAGTGTTCAGCCAGGTTCGTACCTTTCGGGAGAAGAGTGTCTTAGTTGGGGCGGCTATAAGGAAGTACCAAGGTCTATGAAAAACAGTGTATTTCTCACAGTTCTGGAAGCTGGCCGTCTAAGAGCAGAGTGCCGGCCCGGTCAGTTCTGGGAGGGGCCCCCTTCCTGTGTACAGACAGCTGCCTTCCTATTGCATCCTCGCATGGTAGAGAGAAAAAACAAGCTTTCTAGTGTCCTTCTGTAAGGGCACTAATTCCATTTATGAGGGCCCCATCCTCACAATCTCATCACCTCCCAAAGGCCCGAACTCTTAATACCATCACATTGGGAGTTTGGATTTCAACATGAATCTGGGTGGGGGATGTGGGGGGCAGTGGGGGGTGGCCACAGACATTCAGATGGCAGCAGACAGCCTTGCGAATCCTGATTTGGGTTGTGACAGGAGGTGTGAAACCCAGGGTCCAGTTCTACCACCTTCATTTGCAGATGCAAAAGTTGAGGCTCAGAGAGGGGAAGGGGCTTCCCCAGACTAAACCTAAAGTAGATGCACAGTGAGAACTGGAAGCCAGGTCTCAGTCTCCCCATCGGTGTGTCTGCCCCCACTGCCTGTGCTCCCTCACCATGTTAGTGCTACCACGTGGCAGCTGCATCCCATCTAAGGAGGGTGCAACCCTGCGTGGGGCCACGTGGTAAAGCAGCACTTACTGAGTGGGGTCACAGATGGGGCCACATGCTGGAAACGCTGTCGGAGGCGGGAGGAGAAGAAAGAAAGGGGCAGGAGGGTAGGGAGAGGAACTGAGGATACTGAGCAGCAGTTGCCTGCCAAAATTCTTCAGTGCAGCTTGTCTAGCAAAGCCAGTCTCCAGCCGAGTAAATACAGTGGATAGCTGACGGGCTGACAGCAGGCATCAAACAGTCTTAAACTGCCCCAAATCCACAGCGCTTTTGAAGCAGCAGTAGAAAAAGGATGCCTGTGTGGAACAGAGGCCTGAAACTTTTAATAGTTTCTTCCAGGCCTCAGGATGTCCTGATGAGGTATTAGAGGAAGTAATTCAGGAAGAAAAGGACAAATAACCGCCTCCGTCTGGAGGCCGACCCGAGGGCTGGCCAGGGCTGCTCGCGGAAAGGGCAAGCGTGGCCCCGCAGTGATCCACGAGGCTCTCGTTAGCCCACCCGCCTGCTGCGGTGCACAGAGCCGCGGGGCCCTGACCCTTGTAAATAACAGACAAGTAAATTTCTTGTTTGCTTTGGGGCAAATGTAAACCACACAGTGCCCGCTGCTTGTGGGTGAAATCATTAACTTTTCCTCGCTGTCGGAAGGGTGCTCCGTACAAATTAGAAATCATTGCCTCCAACCTCAAGGCCCTCCCAAGGATCCGCCCACCTACCCCCAGACCGGGAGGGTGTCAAGACCTCAGGATGTCAGAGAAAAACGTGGGCCTGCCAGAACTGAACTCACCCCACCTTTCTTTGTTTTTTCTTCTGTCTCTTTTCCTTTAGGGTTTGGCTTTGTCACTTTTGAGAATGAAGATGTTGTGGAGAAAGTCTGTGAGATTCATTTCCATGAAATCAATAATAAAATGGTAAGTGTGTAGGGGTTGTGCTGAAATGGAAC